GAATGATGTCACGCCCGCTCTTAAAGTGACCACGTCATCATTGCAAATCTAATCTATTTTGAGATCATCGCAATGATGATGCGGACCTATCAGAACATAGGTAAGTCTATTTAAGGCTTGTTTTAGCCCCCATTCATTGCCCTATCATGGTTTCTGTTTAGATCCTCACTTTGTGCTCCTAGTGATTCCCTAGTGATTTTCTGTGTTTGACCTTAGCATCGTATTGACCTTGTGATTTCTGGTATCCTGGTCCAGCTTTGCATTGACCTTGTGATTTCTGGTATCCTGACCTTGGCTTCATATATTACTTATATATTCTGGTATCCTGACCTCAGCTTTGTCTTGACTTTGTGTATTTTTGTATCCTTGACCTTGATTCTTGCTATATTAATACATTAAGTCCAGCCACTCTAAGGCTCGGTAATATGCCTTTTGAATACACCTTTTGTGGGTTTATCATTTAGCTATGTTATATATATATATATATATATATATATATATATATATATATATATATATATATACAGATTCATTCAGGTGTAGAATAAAAGGAATTTGATTAATTCAGATCAGCACTTGTTTAACCTGCACTATATACTAGGCCCTCATTTGTCCACCAGCTTTTTTATTTTTTTATTTTTCGTATAGTTATATTGTATAGGTATAATATAAAATGAGATTTGAAAAATAATCCTTTGGCGACATCTAGTGGCATAACTCTGTAATACACTTATTAATGATACAGAATTTAGTCTCAAGTGAAATGTCATGATGACAACCTTAGTTCTTAATTATTATTATTATTATTATTATTTTATTATTTATATAGCGCCAACAAATTCCGTAGCGCTGTACAATGGGTGGACTAACAGACACATAATTGAGATCAGACCACTGACGTACAGGAACAGAGGGGGTTGAGGGCCCTGCTCGATGAGCTTACATGCTAGAGTTAATGAGTTAATTATCCAGTGTTAAAACCCTCAGTAGTATCAACCCAAAAAATCTGGTAGAGACAAACTTTTAGTGACAAACTGGGACAGAAATTCGACCTGGGCATTTTAAGGGAGAGTAGTCTATACGGGGAGGCATGCTGTGTCCTCATTGACATAGACAAAACCCAAAGTGGGAATGTCATTTCGATGTTATGTATTGTTGTATGTGTTTGGAAGCTGCTTCTGTGGCTACCTGTATGTGTGTTGGCTTCTAATAGTGTTATGTGTGTGGGGTAGGCTACCTGTGGTGTTGTATGCATGTGTTTGCTTGTATAGTTGGGTGTGTGGACAGGGCTGTTTGCAGTGTAGTGTGTGGGCATGGTAAGCGGATAGAAGCTGTAGTGTTTTTATGTGGATAGAGACTAGGGTGTGTGGGGTGTATGTGGGCTGTAATGTGTTCTTGTGAGTTTGGATAGGGGCTGTAGTTTGTGTATGTAGGGTTTGGGTCAGGGCCGAATTAACATAGTGGCTAAAGGAGCTGCAGCTCCAGGCCCATGGAACTATTGATTTAAAAAAAAAATGGTACTTTTTTTTTTTTTTTAACACACTACTCTTACAGTTTCTATTCACGCCAGGCTAGCCTCGTGCCCTCTTTTTGGGCATGTTTGCCCCTTTCTGCAGTTCTGGTTACATGATTCGCATCAGTGGCACACCCTTTTACCCCGCCCATTGACTTCTTGCATCACTGGACACTGCTTTTAGGGGGTATGGATTTACTTGAAAGATGAAATCGTAAATTAGAGAGAGATTAGCATAGGGTATGTGTTTTCTTGTAGCTGCATCCTATGAGTTTCCCTCCAGCACCATCTCCATCAGGTACACTGATTTTAGTGCTTTTGGTCAATAAGAAGTAATAAGGCCCATCATGTCAGCACCAGGCCCAATTGGCTCTTAATCTGGCCCTGGATTGGGTAGTAGTGTGAGTAGTGTGTGGGGTGAGTATGGTTGAAGTTTGTGGAGGGGGTTATATGAGCTGTATTGTGAGAGAGGGCTATAGTAATGTTTGTGTGTGTAGCTAGGCACCATGGTGTTTGGGAGGTTTGAAGCTGTAGTGTGTATGGGGGGTGGGGGGGAGTCATGTGTGTGCATGGAGGGATATTGCTTAAATCTGTTAATGTAAAAAAAAAAAAGAAAAAAAGTTTATTCTCCCTCCAGCTTGTGTCAGGTAGTGGGGAATTCTGATCCCTGGTGCCTAAATGAATGAGGCATCTTGTGTGCAGACCATTACCTCTGGCTGGCTCTTAAAAAAGTATTAGAATATTATCATGGAAGCCCACAGCAATGTTCTGATACCCTTCCTGGTGCAATTCATGCAGTCTGAAACCACTATAGGGGCAGACTGCAAGCACTTTAGGTCGCTCTATGCCATGTGGGCTGACTGGTGAGGGAGATCTTTCTCCACCAGACGCAGAGCTCCGTCTGTGGGCCAATCTCTCGCTCACATACATATCCTGCTTTTGGCTCTCAGAATTATTGACATCATCTTACAGTGGTAAAGCAAGCTGGTATGTGTATGAGACAAGACCCATGTCTCCCAGCAACCCAAATGTTTAAATAACCCAGTTCACCAAACTCACTCCTGGTAAGAAAGTTTCAATGAGAGTATAAGTTGAAATGGTTGTGAGTTGCTCAACACATCAAAAGTCTGATATAAGTATGTGACACAGTAATAGACCCACCTATGACAACAATAGCTGACTGGTTAGAACAGACGTATTACCGGATCTTAGAGTGGCCTGGCTTAACGTAAAAAAGATAGAGATCATAGTCCAATACAAGCCATGGTTAGGATAACAAAGAAAAAGAATAATCATAAAACTAGCTGCAGTCAGGAAAATTGAATAACAGAATGATGAATAAACTAGTCCGGTAAGGGTTATATAAATGCACAGAGTCAATACTGGATAAATCATGTAATAACAAGGAACGCATTACTACAAGTACTGGAAACTGAAACCATAATACGGCACAGTAAATGGTGACAAACAACCTTATAAAGTGTTAAGTGTGATTTGATTGGTCCACATCACACCTGCAACCCCAGAACGTGTATGAATGGGGACACCGGACTGACATGGACCACATAGAACCAGAAATTATGAGACACCCTTTGTGTGCCTTTAAGAACGCTCTCCAAATTCAGGCAGCGTTTGCTTTGCAGGGATTCAGACCGCACAAATGGTCTGTTCGATGCACAAGAACACTGGATCGCCACGCCAACTGGTTAAGCAATACTTACCACGAATATTTGAATCACATCTTCATCATTTCTAGATGTATTTCTGTTACATGAGAGTATGTAATGTGTGCATGTCAGTGAGTGCTAGAGTCATTGAGTGCTTGTGTCAGTGTATTACAGTGAGTGCTGGTATCATGTGCCAGTGTGTCACTGAGTGCTTGTATCAGTGTATGACAGTGAGTGCTTGTGTCAGTGTGACAATAAGTGTCAGTGTGTTACCGATTGCTTGTGTCAGTGTGTGTGCATGTGTCAGTGAGTAAGCTAAGTAGTCCTTGTATCAGTGAGTGCTTGGGTTAAGTGTGTGTCAGTGTAACACCTTATAGAAAGTACACACAATATCAATATATTAGCACCACTACCTAAAAATGCATGTTCTGGGTATGCCCCCAAATCCCATTTTTTTCTGTGTAGATTTGGGATCCAGACCAGTTTCCTATTGAGTTGAGTACCACACACATCCACTATAGGTGCCCCTTTGGATGCGACAACATGAAAACATAAATTGATGAGTCTCTGAAAGATGTTTAAAGGGATTCTATAGTGCCAGGAAAATAAACCTGTTTTCCTGGCACAGTAGAATCCTACAGTGCCCCACTCCCTCGTCCTTCCCTCCTCACCCTCCCGCCGACACAGCTGAAGTGGTTAAAACTGACCTACATTCAGCGCCGATGTCCATCGCTCCTGTGACAGCGGTGGGTGAAACCTAATGTGCATGTGCGGCAATGTCCGTGCTTGCATTAGGATTTCCCCATAGAAAATTATTAATCAATGCTTTCCTATAGGGAAAATATGACCCTGGAGGTCCTCATGCATAGCGTGAGGATGTCCAGCATCAGATAACGGACCAAAAATCCGTTTCAATTCCGGAAGTCCGGAAGAGTTAACACTGCAAAGTAATTATTGTAGTTTCTCAGAAACTGCAATAATTAACACGGTAGGGTTAAGGGACATGGGACATTGCACCCAGACCACTTCCATGAGCTGAAGTGGTCTGGGTGCCTACAGTGTCCCTTTAAGCAGTCAGTATTGCAAGTTAGAATGTAAATCTCCCATGTTAAAATTAGTGTAGGACCCACTGATATTGGGGTACTGTGAAGTGGTGGTGAGCTTAACACAATATTGCCATATGGTGTAGCTAAATACCCATATTTCTTTGCTGAGATAGGTGATTTTAAGTAGCCTTGTAATATTTAAAAATGTATTTTTGTTTTTGTGTGTGTGCTGTTCCTTTAACTGTATTTTGTATTGATTTTGTTTTTTTATGGCAGCATCACCACTTAGAAATGCATGTTCTGTGTAGATTTCATTTTTTTCTGTGTAGATTTGGAATCCAGACAAGATTCCTAGTGGGCCGAGAACACCACCCATCCACTATTGGTGCCCCTTGAAAATTGGCCACATGGGAGCATACACTGGGAGTCTCTGGGAGCTGTTTAAGCAGTAAGTATTGCAGTTAGCATGTAAATCTCCCATGTTAACATTAGTGTAAGACCCATCGATATTGGGGTAATGTAACGTAGTGGTGGGCTTAACACAATATGGCCATATTGAGTAATTAAATCCCCATATTTGTTTGCTAAGATAGGTGATTTTTATGTAAAATGTAAAGTTGTATATTTGTTTTTGTGTGTGCTCTGTTCCGTTAACTGTATTTTGTATACTCAATATCAATCTGCTACCAGTAAACTAAACCGATGATAAGATTACAATAACATATTATAATAACTTCAAAAAAACTAATAAAACTAAAATGAAGAAAGAAATAATAAAACTAAATAAAGACAAACGCACAACAGCATATAGCAGTTTTATTGCACACCATCAACAACACCCGCAGTTGTAGGGAATCTGTGTTTGTCCAATAGCTTCAACCCTCTAGTCGCACTCTTCTTATCGTACTCTTCTTATCGTCATTTTTCAGTCTTCTTTTTTTTTTGTAATGTGTGGCTGTCTTCTAGTGGAATAATATTGGTTGTGTATGATGGTTGGTTGAGAATGTGTGATGTATATTTTCTTCAGAGTAATAGATTTGTGATAGTTAAATGAAAGTTGATTTAAAGGGGGCACAAGGCTCATTTTGGCAAGGTTAGACTAGGGATTGCCTTCAGCCTTTAGTAGTAGGTCTTTAATAGCGATCGACTAACCTTTTTTTTTTAGAGGCACTATTGTGTGAAAAATGGAAACTATAGCATGTGGAGGCAATTTAGGTTATTGTTTACGTGGGATATAGGCTGTAATGTGTGAGAGGATAGGGCCAGGAATGTGGGGTGGATCATTTTTAGTTAGAAAAAGAAAATAAAGCTTATTCTTCCGTCCCTTAAAAAGTAAGTTTATTCTCCCTTACCTTGGGCCAGGGAGGGAGTAAGGCTATGTCGTGGTGCAGTGGTAAATGCAACTTGCCTGCACCCCTGGTGGTTGCAAACTTCTCCTTCTAGCCAGCACTAGGGAAACTGTCAGAGAATTGCCATGGTAACCGATGCCAACAAGTTGATACACTATTAGAAACACTGAAGTTGGCCTGCACCAGCAGGAGGTGGAGACTGCAAGTTCACTGTCTCCTTCCTCCCCCCGGCATTCGAAAGGCATGGCCGGGGAGGGAAGTTGCTGGGGAGCCCTCTTTCAGTGCTGGCACATATGTGTCGTCATCCCTTCCGGGGATTCTTATATCTCTGGGAGATAATTATATCTCTGCTGTCAACCTTTGCTCATGGCTATCGCAGTTTACAGAGCATTTGCCAAGTTTGCACAATGGCCAGTCCAGATCTCATGCTTTTTATGTTTAATAAAAATGTAACTTGAATTTTATACAGCATTTGGCTACAATTTATGAGGCTTTGGTTACCTTAATGGAGTTGCCTTCTAGTGTACAGTGTTGTTTTTTTTTTTCAAAACTTAGCATTAAAGAATTAAGTTCTGTAAAGGCTACATCATATAGCATAATTGGGAGCTACAGACAAATAAGGCACAAAGAGCAGGTTGGTTACTGTAAATGAAACATGCAAAGACATTATTTGGAGGGTGTAAATGTTCTCTCTCTCTAAAACAAAATTGTTTAAAGATTGATGGTCAGTTGCTCTTGAATTGACAATTGGTTACATGTTCTTTCTCCCTTTAATAATATGAGTTGCACACTTTGATGTGAGATTTTTATTAAAACCAGAAAATGCTTTATTAAAAATTGTGTTGATTGTACTCAGATTAATAGAATTGTTGGCCATGTCTTATACTAAATTATATAAATTCTATAATTGTGTTGATCAATATAAAGAGAATTCCAGGAGTGTCGTATAAAACCCATCAGTACGTCTTGCGCTACCATTATCACAGAAACTAATGCTATCTACGTGTTGAGCTCCAAAGTGAGCAATGGGGATATGTCCATAAATATCATAGTAAAAGCGAAGGCCAGGATTTTTCCTGAAAGTGTTAGTAGAAATCTTTGCAACAGTTACATGCAGGCGGTTAGATGGAGGTTTTATAACTTGCAACCCTTCATTGCAAAATCTTTCATGTAAGGACTGTACAAAGCTTGATATTTCTGGTATTGCTAATGGTGCTAGATAGAGGACACGTGCATTGAAATCCTTAAGCCCTTCAAAGCGAAGAATTAGGCTTGGGGGCAGAATTCGCTGAATTTCATGACTCCACTCTTGGATAACAGAGACTGATTTCTGTATTTCTTCTGGAGTTTCCAAATGTAAAAGGCACAGTGTCAAATGGAGTGCTGGTAGAGGTGTGCAATATTCTGAAATATCTGGATTCCATTTCTTCAGTACGTCTTGCACTTCTTTTATGGAGCTTTTTACATCTTCACTGCTGATACGTACAGCAATAAAATGCGTGGGCCTCAATTTTTTGGTATTAACATACGCAGCAGCATCAAGACATTCCTCAACATTTTCATATTCTTCTAAACCATCAGAATCCTTTTGCAAACCACTCATTTCTGGTTGCACGTTAACTTTTTCTTCATGGTCCAAATTTTTATTTTGTTCCATGATATCTAAAATTGTCATGCCACTTCCAGTTGAACCAAACACATTATCTATTCGAGAATTTTTGTCCCAAACCACCAGATCTTTATATTTGAAGTACTGAATACGATGTTTTGGAATTGCAAGGACATCATGCCCCACTGAGGCCAAATCTTCCCAACAGAATGCAGAGAAAGGCTTTTCAATGGTACCTAAAAATCTATCAAGATAACCTATTATAAAGCATTCTTTGGGCAGCATGTTGTCCCACTGAATTCTTGAGATAACATCAGTAGCAGTTTTCATTGGAGGTTTCTTTTTAGAATTTGATTCATATTCACTCTTTCCTCTGGTTGAAGGAGGGGGAGAGGTGGCTTCTGGTATACCGTTGTGCATGTTTCTACATCTGTCTCCAAATCTGCACCGTCCTGCAAGAAAGAATTGGCAGGGAGAGCGTTCAGGCTCTTTCTCAGACGGTTCTTCTACGTCCTTTTCTGTGTATGAATTTTCCAGATTAACCGCACTGTTCTCCATGGAAGATTCCTTTTCAGTGTCTTTGCCACCGTCGCCCTCCATTAGCTGTAAAATTCAACTTGAAAAAGTGAAAAAAACAAAGTAAAAATCTCCAATTAAAGATAGCATTCTGGATTGAATGTGTGTTACTATTTTAATTCTTAAATTAGCAATGCATTGTCTATACAGTACCTAACCCAATTTTGCTTTCCTTTAGCTTCTTCCCTACTGATAGTTAAGAATGGTGCAATAGTTATCGCTACTTAGAACACTATGAGAGTTATTTACGAAAGTGAAAATTCAAAGTGAAATTAAGGCCACAGTAGACAAACTGGAAGGATAGCTGAGATTTTTTCCAGTTTTGCTATTTTGACACCATTTTTAAAATTCAATTTGAATTCACTTTTAATTCTCACTTTTAGTCCATAACCCTGTATAAGATTGCTTCCTGTTTGTATTGACTACTATTTGCTACTATCCGCACACAGCACAAACAGACAAAATAAAACTGTTCCCTGTACAGTATGATAGGTGTCAAAGAGAGAATTACTTATCAGTTGCTATCCCATCTCGGCTCCTGGTTAATGAAGCTTCTGGAGTCACATTATCTTTCCCATGTTCACAGATGCAAGTGGATAACTGAGATTTTAAAAATAGACATTCCTCTACATACAGAGAGATACGGTAGGTATCTCTACTATACAAAACAAAAAGAAGCCTTTTCACCCAACAGTAAATTACAGATGATGGGAAATTTTATGGTACAACAAGTGGAGAATCTTTTAAACTTTTTCCCATATCTTGATATAATCTGGCACCTACATTAAAGTAGTGCTTACTTTGAATAATGTCTATCTGTATATTTTGATTGTGTTTGAATTTTAGTGAGATTCCAATCCAACATATAGTTTTCAATAAAGATTCTATCTTTATTGGAAACTCACAAGGAACTACAATGCTTTAACTATGTACAATGTTATATGTAAGATATATATATATATATATATACAGTGTTTTCCTGAAAATACACCCTACCCCGAAAATAAGCCCTAGCTGGATTATCAGGGTGGGCTGCAATATAAGCCCTACCCCGAAAATAAGACCTAGGCAGGGCCGGCAGCTGCCGGCCCTTTAAATGCCACACCCGACTGAGCGCTCTATAGACGGCTACCGCACTGCCTCACCTCCCCTTCCCTGTAGCAATGTGTGTGCACTTCCTGTCAGTCCGGCCGGGTCGCAGACCGGAGAGGAGCTCGGCCACGCTATAGGGAAGAGCAGGTGAAGAGAAGATTGGAGAGGGAGGGGGGAGGGAGTATTACTGGGAGAGAGGGAGGGGGAGAATATTACAGGGAGGAGGGGAGGGGAGAGACACAGGAGGGAGGTAGTATTACAGGGAGGGAGGGAAGGAGGGAGGAGGGGGGGGAGAATATTACAGGGAGGGAGGGGGAGAGTATTACAGGAGGAGGAGAGTATTAAAGGAGGGAGGGGGAAATATTACAGGGAGGGAGGAGGGGAGAATATTACAGGGAGGGAGGGAGGAGGGGGGAGAATATTAGAGGGAGGGAGGGAGGAGAATATTATAGGAGAAGTATTACAGGGAGGAGGGAGCATTACAGGGAGGGAGGAGGAGAATATTACAGGAGGGAGGGGGGAGAGTATTACAGGGAGGGAGGGGAAAGTATTACAGGGAGGGAGGGGGGATAATATTACAGGGAGGGAGGGGGGAGAGTATTACAGGGAGGGAGGGGAGAATATTACAGGGAGGGGGAGGTGAGGGTCTCTGGGGGGGTTACACAGCGCGGACACCGGCTGACAGACTGGCTATAAGCCCTACCCTGAAAATAAGCCCTAGTGTGTTTTTTGTGACTAAAATTAATATAAGACCAGGTCTTATTTTCGGAGAAACACGGTATATATAGATAGATAGATAGATAGATAGATAGAGAGAGAGAGAGAGAGAGAGAGAGATTGTAGCCGTATTAGTCCAGTGATGTAGATGTTAAAAACAGATACAATTCTTATCTTATCTTAAATAGAATTTTTTAATGACAAGCTTTCGGGAGAACCTCCCTTTCTCAAGTCTGAAGCATTTCTGAGCAAAACGACACATAAACTTCAAAGTTGAGTTGTGATACAGGGGTTAAAGCGACATGAGTGTAGATAAGACACAGGTTTGATAGAAAATAGACACCATCTTAGCAGAGGGTCATAAATATCTTGTTGAAGAGAAGAGTGAGGCGAGAGAGAGGGAAAAGAAAAACAAACAAGCAGACAGTGCACAGGATGGTACACTTTATACATGCACACACACATAAATATGTATATGTGAACACATAAACACATGTACATATACATAAATACATATACATATACATAAACACTATAATAAAGTTTTGTTCTTTGACAGATCACTTGAAAATTAGTTGATAAAAACCATAGGGAATGCAGCCAAATAAACTGTGTGTAGTTGCGGAATGGGAGATAAGAGGTAAGTAATAAAATAGCAGGTATCCTTTATCAAGGAGCTCCCTTGATAAAGGCATCCTTGCCGAATTGTTGGGGGCTTCTTTTTGATTCTCTCCCTCCCACTACTTCTGGTATTTTTTCCTTTTAGGGTATGTATGATTTGTTGGGTTGCTCTTTCTGGGTAACTAATCAAATTTGTATCCGGATTAGCTTTTTTTGTAATTATTAACTATGTATAGATAATTGTGATACATTTTCTCATGTGATATTATTACCAAGATTGTCTGTTTTGTTTGTATCTTGGATACTTTCTTTTTTTATTGGACCCAATTAATAAAGTTTTTCTATTAGTATGGGTGTGCTCCTCATTCAGTATTTTCTATATAAACAAACGACATCAGGAATTGTCTATTGTCGTTTTCAAAGCAGTCATCAAAGCTACTGTTCCAACATTTGTCATTAACATATTATATAATTTTTGAGTACTTGAACAGTTACTATTGTACACAATAGAGGCTACATTGTTTAACACTTTAACTGCTAGGGCATTACACACTAGGATGTTAAGGCCATATTTATGCTTTTGTACTCACTGCAATTAAACACCAATATCAGTGGGGGGATGAGGGGTGGAAGGGTTCTGTGAGTTGCCCTCAACCTTTTAAGATCACTATTTTGTCACCAAAACAACTATCGCTTAATGTAGCAGTTTTGGTGAATAGACCCTGTGCCTGCAGTCTCACTGCTCAATTCTCTGCCCTTTAGGAGTTAAATCATGTTGTTTATACAGCCCTAGGCACACTTCCTTGAATGTGACTTAAACAGTCTTCCTAAACCCTTCCTGTAAAGAGTCATCCAATGTTTACACTTCCTTTTATTGCACATTGCAATATTGCTCTGTTAATGGCTTGCTAGATCCTGGAGTAGCCTCCTGTGATAAAGTTAAATGTACAGAGCAGGAGATAAAAACTTTACATCTGATTGAACATGAAACTATTTTGTTTTCATGCAGACTGTGTCAGTCACAGCCAAGGGAAGGTGTGACTAGGGTTGCATAAACAGAAACAAAAGTGATTTAACTTCTAAATGGCAGTGAACTGAGCAGTGAAAGTTCAGGGGCATGATCTATACACCAAAACTAGTTCATTAAGCTAAAGTTTTTTGGTGACTATCGTGCCCCTTTAAGTTTGCTATGAAAAGAAAATGACATAATATTGCATTGGGTGAATCAACAAACAAATACAGCCACTCCTAAAAATTTCACAAGCATTAGGTAATTAAACTGAGGTCAATGACCTCAGTCCCATAGTACCAAATAAACATACATACACAAATATACAGAGAGAGATATATTAAGAGTGTAATAATCACAGGACTAAAGGTTGAGTAGTTAAAGGACCACTCTAGGCACCCAGACCACTTCAGCTTAATGAAGTGGTCTGGGTGCCAGGTCCCTCTAGGATTAACCCTTTTTTTTAATAAACATAGCAGTTTCAGAGAAACTGCTATGTTTATGTTAGGGTTAATCCAGCCTCCAAATCCTCTAGTGGCTGTCTCATTCAGCCGAAGAGGAGGATCGGAGGCAGAGAGCTCCCCGCCCAGCGCTGGAAAAAAGGTAAGTTTTAACCCTTTCCTCTCCCCAGAGCCGGGCGGGAGGGGGACCCTGAGGGTGGGGGCACCATCAGGGCACTATAGTGGTCCTTTAATGTGCTTTATGAATCATATTGTTTTACGCAATGCTCACTTCAGCTTCATCTACTCTTTAGATTACTTTTTGTCATTAGAGATAAAGTTAGGAATAGTGTTTTATTAAGTAGTATGGCAGCAATGGGACCATATTTGTCTTGGGCTGGCCAAGTGGGAGCTACATTTTTATTCAGCTCCACTCCAGAAACCGAAAACAGCATTAACATCTGGGCAGCCTGGCTCGCTATGAACTATGTCACTAAAGCAGAGATCCTCACATATATAATTTAACTAAAAAATGTTGATTTACAATAATAGCTAACATGTATAGGAGGTTATTGAAAGAGGAAAAAAAAGGATTTTAGCCTTTTCTTTTATCCTTTAGATCTGTATCCTATATGTGATTTGTCATTCACATAGTTGCAGCATCAAATATTAGTTATAAATACCTCACAGTGGTTGGGGGAGATGGGTATGCGGAAACCCATCAGAAGATGAAAATATATGTCATCAGACATATTCTACCAGAAAATAGCTCGTCATTCTGTCCTACTAATAGACTGCCTAATGATAATGTATCATTTTTCACCTTTAGCAGGACTTGTAGAGCTGCTGATGCAAATTAAGCAGGATTTCATTCTGGTAACATGCTATGGCAGGGGTCCTCAAGCTGTGGACTCCAGATGTTGCTGAACTACAACTCCCATGACTCTTTGAATTACATAGATGGCCAGAGAATCATGGGAGTTGTAGTTCAGCAACATCTGGGGGGCCGGAGTTTGATGTCAGCCTTGGTGTTTAGTGGGTTAAATATTTATTATCCCCCTTGTAAATCTACCTCACAATGTATGTGTCCTATGTTATATAAGAGGGGGAATAGAGATAGATAGATAGATAGATAGATAGATAGATAGACACTTCATACATTTACTGTAGAAGCAATAGGTTTCATACTTACCTTGGAGATGTAAGTAGACAGAATACTTTCTACGTCTGCTCTCTTCCTGATATGAGTGAATCCTCTACCACCTAGAGATGACACATTGAACTCTGTATTTGTTAGGAATGATTTGGCAAAATGTTACTCTGTACGTCATTGTATCTACTGCCTAGATACAAAACAAACCAACTAGTGAACCAGGAAGTAATGTGACAATTACATGTAGATAGAAAGTTGCAAGGCTTTCTGGGATAATTGCATGCACGCAAGCTTGCCACAAGAGGGCAGACTCTTCCCTAATTCAACAGCTCACTATAGAAATCCAAAAATAGACCAGATGAGCTCATCCTAAAGCTTGAACACTGAATGACTTCACTATGTAAAGCTTGAATTCAAATCAGGATACAGTCATCACTTTAATGAAAACGTGTTTGTTAACAACATTGAGCAAAAGAAAAGTTAAGGAGAAAAAAAGCAAGAGAAATAGATCTGTGAATGGCTAAACTTTATGGATTTGAGCCCTTTTTCAGCTTGTATTACAATGTCACCGTATTGTGTAATCTGATTGTTTGTCAGTTCAGTATTACATATTAGATCATGTCTATAAAGAGTTGCCAGATCATGACTTCATTTAGAAATGCTTGCTTCAGGACGTGCTACTTAAAATTCACTCTAATGATTTTTATTTTATTTATTTTTTTACAATTTAGTAGATATAGCCCCAAAGAAAACACATACGTTATTCCTATATGTTTTCTTTGGCACTGTATGGAAAAACAGCTTTCAAAAGCTGCAGACATGCTATCTGCAGTCCTTGCAAACCAACACCTCTTTCCGCAACACAGACTCTGTGCCAGGAAATACACCATTCAAAGGATTCTCATTGAGTGTTATCTAGGGAGGTATGTCTGCCCCAGTTATAAAAGTGCCAATTTCTATTAAGCTGTAGTGGTTCTGGTGCCTGCCTATAGTGTGCCTTTAAAATGAGAGAGAGAGAAAAGAAGCCACAAAAGTGCACAATGTGATCTCCCAAACCCCGACACTGCAACTTGTGCCTGACCACCGTTCACTGAATTTCTTTCAGTTCACTGACTCAGTATCTCAGAATGGAATTAAAAACCCACATGCAAATCTTTTCTGAGGAAGACCATCTTATCATGCCTATCACAGCCATTTAGCCTGCACTTACTGGTATTCTGGTGAAACTGGCCAAGTGGTGACAGACTCACCTTTCAAGTGGTGACAGATTCAAGTGTCCATATTTCAGAGGAACAGTTCTTATTTTGGGTACAAATCCCTCTTTTTTTATCCTAATGTCCCTTTTCTAGGAGCGCCATATTGTTAGTGTGTCTGATTGTATAACAGACCTCAATAGCAATAATACCCACAGTCTGTGTAAATAAGATACATTGTTCTAGTTGTAAATTACTTTTTAGTTACATACATTGTTATTGATAAGTCACTTAACATTTCTCAGAATAGCCCCATCTCTGGTCACAACTATCTTGCGCCATACGACCTTCTCCCAGCACCACCCCCTTTCCTGCCAAACATATCTACCAGCAACACCCCCTCCAGGGATTTATCAACCTGCACAACAACATTTTCAACTGGGAAAGGGATTCAGGAGACCATGAAACCTGAAATGGACAGGATAACCACCTGTGGTTGAATATCCTGTTTGCCAGCACCATATTAGGCATGTGCATGGGCAAAAAGTTTGGTTTGGTTCAGAAATTCGGGTACGTAAATAAATTCGGCACTTCGGCAATTAGGTTCGGTTCGGCACTTTGGGACTTCTGCAATTCGGAACTTTGGAATTCAGAACATCTGTAGGGCTCCCTAAACCTAACCCTACCCCTTACCCTAGCTCTACCCCTTACCCTAACTCTACCCTTACCCCTTACCCTACCCTTAACCCTAACCACCACAGCCACTTACACATCTATAGGGTATAGGGCTCTTAGTGCTAGGAATTAGCTTATTGGTCAAGTATCCTTTCATCATTTACGTAATTTTCCCTCCCTCTCTTCTTTAACCAGTTTTCAGAAATCCGAAGCACTTCGGCACTTCAGAAATTCATCAATTCGGCGCTTTGGCAATTCGGTTTGGTTTGGTACTTCCAAAATTGGGTCTTCGGCACTTTGGAAATTCGGCAATTTGGCACTTCGGACATTCAGAAGCATCCGAATGTCCGAATTGCCCGAAATTAGTCCGAATTTACATTTGGAGCGAAATCAATTGCACATATCTACACCATATCTACTGAAAGCACCTGCCAAGCTCTTACAATCTAAAGGAACAATCCAAGCACCATAACAACTTACAGTAAGAACAATAAAGATGTAAGATTATCTACCTAAAAAGGTTGTCTTATCAGATGATATAGAAAGTTTTAAAAAAGGCTTGGATGCTTTTTTGCATAAATAGATAATTAAAGGATATAATTACTGTGGCGGAACAGACCTCTCCACATGTTCTTGGAGGGGGCTGCTTTCCCGCCTCCTACCTTCTGATTATGGCCCTGGGATATATGGCATTTGAAAACACTATTTGTGCCCTGTGACACAACTGGAGGTTGTGCACAAATATGACTATTGTCCATATTTTTTATAATTCCCTTCGTTTGTTGCACTGTTCCCCATGTGTTTCATCTGTTGGTCCGGCTGGATAGACTACCAGACAAACTGTGGAGTTACTGAGTGGCCACCATTTCATGTATCAGAGGCACATGGTGAGAACAATGGATGAAGCACATGGTGAGAACAATGGATGGTGGCCATTTTAACTCACAGACACTGTTTGGACTTTTCTACACGGTGCCATCTCTGGTATTTGGTGCACAAAGACATTGTGCAGTAGTTTTAAACTATACAACAGGGGACACATTATACAGTAATTATTTTTCATATAGCATGTATATGTTCTGTGGAATCTGCATTAAACTGTATCTTCCAAACTACTGAACGGATCTGGGTGAATTTTGTATATGTGGTTCACCCAGATCCCCCGGTGCCAATTTTTATGGGGTTATTGCATGTTTTGTGGTCCCTATAATGTTTTATAATAGTGTATTTCTCTGCCTGTGATAATTATATTAACCATTGTGTTCAGTAATCTATCACAGGCAGAGGGGAGGATTTTGTGTGTGTATTGTACGGATTGATTGGTTGTATTTCAAAACCCTGTGGGCAGTACTATGTTTGTGGATTGTGAATAAAAGAGGCTATATGTGCCAGTACAGTCAGTTCTGCTTGACCTCAAAACAAAGTGTCATCTCGTTATTGGGGGAATTGGATTGTATGCTGATTGCCAGGAGTGTAAGCTGATTGTATGCTTTTCCTCTTCAGCTGCTTACAGCATTCATATGCTTGAGAGCATTCGTATGCTTCTCCGGTTCGGTGGTTGTGGTGTCTGCTGCAGTGCTTGGAGTCCTCAGGAAGCGCTAGGAGCATCCTTCAGTGGAGGTACCCAGTTGGGGTGCCAGGTGATCCGTTACAATTACTATCCAAGGAGAAATCTGATTTTCATTATAGAGTTAATAAGGAATTGTTTGCCTTTTTGTGACATACCGTATATACTCGAGTATAAGTCGACCCGAATGTAAGTCGAGACCCCTAATTTTACCCCAAAAAACTAGGAAAAAGAATTATTAGGCAAATGAGTATTTTGACCACATCATCCTCTTTATGCATGTTGTCTTACTCCAAGCTGTATAGGCTCGAAAGCCTACTACCAATTAAGCATATTAGGTGATGTGCATCTCTGTAATGAGAAGGGGTGTGGTCTAATGACATCAACACCCTATATCAGGTGTGCATAATTATTAGGCAACTTCCTTTCCTTTGGCAAAATGGGTCAAAAGAAGGACTTGACAGGCTCAGAAAAGTCAAAAATAGTGAGATATCTTGCAGAGGGATGCAGCACTCTTAAAATTGCAAAGCTTCTGAAGCGTGATCATCGAACAATCAAGCGTTTCATTCAAAATAGTCAACAGGGTCGCAAGAAGCGTGTGGAAAAACCAAGGCGCAAAATAACTGCCCATGAACTGAGAAAAGTCAAGCGTGCAGCTGCCACGATGCCACTTGCCACCAGTTTGGCCATATTTCAGAGCTGCAACATCACTGGAGTGCCCAAAAGCACAAGGTGTGCAATACTCAGAGACATGGCCAAGGTAAGAAAGGCTGAAAGACGACCACCACTGAACAAGACACACAAGCTGAAACGTCAAGACTGGGCCAAGAAATATCTCAAGACTGATTTTTCTAAGGTTTTATGGACTGATGAAATGAGAGTGAGTCTTGATGGGCCAGATGGATGGGCCCGTGGCTGGATTGGTAAAGGGCAGAGAGCTCCAGTCCGACTCAGACGCCAGCAAGGTGGAGGTGGAGTACTGGTTTGGGCTGGTATCATCAAAGATGAGCTTGTGGGGCCTTTTCGGGTTGAGGATGGAGTCAAGCTCAACTCCCAGTCCTACTGCCAGTTCCTGGAAGACACCTTCTTCAAGCAGTGGTACAGGAAGAAGTCTGCATCCTTCAAGAAAAACATGATTTTCATGCAGGACAATGCTCCATCACACGCGTCCAAGTACTCCACAGCGTGGCTGGCAAGAAAGGGTATAAAAGAAGAAAATCTAATGACATGGCCTCCTTGTTCACCTGATCTGAACCCCATTGAGAACCTGTGGTCCATCATCAAATGTGAGATTTACAAGGAGGGAAAACAGTACACCTCTCTGAACAGTGTCTGGGAGGCTGTGGTTGCTGCTGCACGCAATGTTGATGGTGAACAGATCAAAACACTGACAGAATCCATGGATGGCAGGCTTTTGAGTGTCCTTGCAAAGAAAGGTGGCTATATTGGTCACTGATTTGTTTTTGTTTTGTTTTTGAATGTCAGAAATGTATATTTGTGAATGTTGAGATGTTATATTGGTTTCACTGGTAATAATAAATAATTGAAATGGGTATATATTTGTTTTTTGTTAAGTTGCCTAATAATTATGCACAGTAATAGTCACCTGCACACACAGATATCCCCCTAACATAGCTATAACTAAAAACAAACTAAAAACTACTTCCAAAAATATTCAGCTTTGATATTAATGAGTTTTTTGGGTTCATTGAGAACATGGTTGTTGTTCAATAATAAAATTAATCCTCAAAAATACAACTTGCCTAATAATTCTGCACTCCCTGTAAGACTGGGGTGGGAAATGCAGCAGCTACTGGTA